AAAAAATTACAGTAAAGAAATAAATAATAATAAATGATTTAATACATTTTATTATTAATCAATTATTTTATGGGGCAGCTTTTAAGTATTACTCAGAATGAGTGCCTCTTTCTAAGTTCTTTGTAAAGTAAGTTCCATTCTAAAAAACGTCTCTCATACTTTTAATGGCGAGCATCCATCATCAGACGACCGGAAGTAATGTTCTGGTCACAAAGGTTGTCATTACTCACCGGAAACAGGGCTGCCAATTAACTAACGTAATTATAAACCTAATGGATATTATAATATGTAAACCGTATTTTTGACGCAACTTTAGTAAATTCATGTTTTTATTTAGCAGTCAGATTGTTCACTTTTTATATTAACAAATAAACAAATAAGTTTAATCGATTTTATAGAGTTACGTGAAAAAAATCAATTTTTTTCAAAAATTATTACAAAATTTACTACAGTTAATATTGATTTTTTAAAGTTCTAGCTTAGGTTTTAAATGTAAAAAACTCGTAATAGCAATTAATGGGCTTGTCAGAAAATTTATATTGTTTTCTTCCACATTTTAGGGTAACTTAAATTGTTTGCAGAACAATGTTTTCTTGAATAATTGGTCCTTAAATCAAATGATTTTAAACTAATAAATTAATAAAATTTGCATTGAGTAAGGTATACTATTTAGATCTACTAAATATATAACATAAAAGAGCATAAAATAGCAATAATATATCTCATACATTAACTCATACATTTATTGTAACCACTTATTAATCACAAAACATAAAATAGCATATTAGATTTTAAGTAAATAATGTACTCATACTAACATCTAGGCCTACAATTAATATGGGATGTTAATTTAACTTATTTGGGGGAAAAAAATAACTATCAACCCACTACAAATCATCTCACTATATAAAAAAAATCCTTGTAGTTTAGGCCTGAAATCATCTGCATTAGTATATATGTCATTGCTTATTACGTATATACTTTATTTGTAAAATGGGACTATTTCCATCCATGTAAATATGCGTAAGACAATAAAGATATTCGTGATTTACCTTTTTTAACTATGCCAATTTGAAATAAAGAAAAATCGTACTTCAATCAATTTTGATAATTACCCCTGAATCAGCAATCGATTCTGTATTGCACTATGATTCAATTGCCCTACTTTGCTCTGTTTACGAAAGGGGCCAATTAAAGTCAATTATCTCGAGGTTTCCACTTAGGTCCTAATTAGGTGTGGATTCTTAACAGTTTCCTCCATGTTTAATCCAGTCTCAAGTAGTATGCCGTCTTAAGTGTTTACTTTCTTTTTTCAACAAAAGCTTCAAAGATTTAACAAGGACACTTCGCTACCCCCTTCGCTCTCTTGCTCTCTCTCTCCCCCCCCCCCCCATCGATTGTGGCAACTGTAACAACGCAGCTCTGTATGCAGCACGCGAAACATGACCTTTAACAACATTTTAAAAACAAGGTCAAATCATGAGACTGTAAATATGATTTATTATTTATTTGACCCGCTATCTATTTTTCATATTATTTCACTAAAAATGTATTTGTGTTGCTACAGCTTTAATTTTGTACTAAAGAAACTGTAAAATCACCTAATGAAAAAGAGATACATTTATTTGACATAATGCACTCTAATGTGTATCACCCACACATGCTTAAAATTTAACGTAACTATTAGTCTTTGCTATGAAATCTTTGCCTGCACAGAACACTATTAATGGTGGTTTGTATTGAGATCCCACTTCATACATCTATATTACTCTCTGTTTGAAATTTATAAGGTGTCAAACATTTCAAAACAGATTAAAACGTTAACAATATTTTACCAAATGAGCAGTTACTTGCCAATACATGTATGTCCAACATTTCACTAATCGTAAATTAAAACGTGTATTAAAACCCTTTTAATGAACTATAAGTTTACTTTTTAATGGTAGTTTTTAGCCTCCGGATTGCCAAATGATATTAGAAAAGGTTTAAATACCTGCTATTAAGCAATCCAATTTAGTCCAACAACAAAATTGCAACTAAATTACAAACAACAAAAATCCAGCAATCCAACAACAAAATTGGTTTGCTTAGTAGCAGGTATTTAAAAGTTTTCCAATAATTACTTTTTAATGTTAAATTGCCCAAATATTTCTTTAAGCAATGGGTACTACGCGGTAAATATAAATATTGTACTTCAAAATCATTTCAACAAATATTTTCAAAAAACCCGTTTTTAGAATAGATATGATTATATCTAATTACACATTCATATTGCATCAAAGTTATTAAACCAATATTAAATTTATATATCACATACGACATGTAAAGTGTAAAACTGTTTTAGCCAAAAGTAAAGGTGTAAACAAAACTCGTATGTTACAACTCCAACTACGCAACATCGTGGTAATCAAAGAAACTTCATATAACTCCCATTAGTTGTTTTATGTTTGCTCCCAAAACAATGATTTACCCTTTACAACATCCAAATGGCGTATTTAAGTAGAATAAACAGAGCGTTATTGCAACATTTAATAGCTTTGTTTGTTTGCGCCTCTGAGAGCTCCATTTCGTATTAGGGCTCAAATATAAATGAGCAATATAGAGTGACTAAATTTAGAATCGTAATGGGTTTTATTGGACACATTTTCATTATAATAAAGAAACAAATTTTGATTTACTCCACGAATCTCACGTTTCTCAAGACTGTCTTATTTCGTCGCAAGTATTACATTTCTGTAGTTGAGGATCATGTTGAAAAATGTAATATTAAAACTAACTACACAAATGCTCACAGTTTGTTGAAGTAATATTACAATTATTTATTTTTATTTTATGTGTTGTACATTAGTTTAATAGTTTTTAAAAACCTGAAACTTTCAGAATCTTAAACTACCAAATCCCTTATACACTCTTTCACTTTTCCCTAAATACTACGATGAAAATAAGCTTACTTTACATTTTTAAATTACTAAAAATGGGTCAAATACTTTCCATACTGACATATTTATGCATATTTCATTTATTTATTGAATAGTGTTTTACAGCTTACAACATTTTTCAAAACAATATTTTCCCTTTGCTATACATAGCTTCTAGACATATCAAAATGTAACCACCTGCCCTAATAAAGGCAAACGCCTAAATGATTATCAAACGCTCCTGGTCAAAGAAAAGCTGATCTAGGTATAATTTTTAATGAAGTCTTATGAAGTCCTTATCTTCACTTTAACATTATCACCCTAGTGTGCCGGCGTCTTATAAGTTCCCCATAATCCCAAATATTACGCAATATCAAGCCTTGTTTTATAGTTATTACTTTTTCGATGTTTCAGTTCAAATATTGAGTTCACAAAACACACGTTTACAATCAGTCAGTTTGTGATGCACAGTAGAGCTAGTCTCTGACGAAGTAAGCCTAATAAAGCCACTCATTAGTATTACAATGGGGGAAATCCCGGCTGACTCCGGTCCTCTAATGGCGTCACTGACGATTTCTCGCTCAAAACTTTATTCAGTGTTTCTTTACGCAACTTGGGGAACAAACAAATTCTTTGTCAACCACAATGTATGGGAGGGAAATTTTAGAAATTTTTACATAGGAATTCAACCTATGTTTATTAATAGGTAACTATTTCAAATTAATCTGCATTATTGAGGGTAATGGATTTATCGTTACGGTAAAGCTGTAATATATTTAGGTATATAATATATATATAATATATAATATAATATATATATATTATATATATAGCTGTACTATATTGATTCCTTTCTACCTTTTACATTTGGAGGCAAGTAATATTTAACAGATGCATGCTGTCGTTAGACCAAGGATCGAAACGTGTTAGCGTTTTTGCCAACGGACTTACAAAGCCGTTGTGAGGTTCTAAAATTAATACTTTACTAGAGGAGTTTTAATCTATAGATGTTCTACTCCTACAACAGTTAAAATTTAAGGTACATACCTTCACGTCCACAGTTCATAGATGTATGGTCAAACCCACTACATGTTTCGCCTATACATAGGCATTGTCAAGTGATCCTTCAAGCAGACTCGTCAAAATCATTTAAATAAATACACAAAACACGATACATTGTACGAAACATTTTACACTTAGTAGGCCTCCGTACCGCGACCGGTAAATAGTAGGCCTACTAAGTATAAAATGTTTCGTACAATGTATCGTGTTTTGTGTATTTATTTAAATGTTTTTTGACGAGTCTGCAATGGATGAAACGTTCTTGAAGGATCACTTGACAATGCCTATGTATAGGCGAAACATGTAGTGGGTTTGACCATAAATCTATGAACTGTGGACGTGAAGGTATGTACCATAAATTTTAGTCTAATCAACAATTCAGGGGCTACACAATGAATTTTAATCCTACAACAATTCATTAGATTTTATTAGATTTCGGAGTGCTATTCATAGCAGTGTCCTTCAAAGCACAGTTGTTATGATATATGCCAAATCATCTACATTATTTCTGAGGAGAGTCTCTTAGAGCAATTCCTCACACCGAATGTAAGAAGGTATTAATTTTAGGTGAGAATAGTATCTGATGGTAACGTCATATTGCAGGGTACGGATGCAGGGAGTGTAGGGTGAAGGCGAGGTCACTTGGCTACTGTGATGACGTTATGTCTTGTATCTAACGGTGACGTCATGTTGCAGGGAACGGATGCAGGGAGTGGAGGGTGAAGGCGAGGTCACGTGGAAAACCAATGATGTATTAATGATGTATCAAGCTTGTTTGTTAGTAATGTATTTATATATATAATAATTTACATATTTGGTTACTGTGATGACGTTAAGTCTTGTATCTGACGGTGACGTCATATTGCAGGGGACGGATGCAGGGAGTGGAGGGTGAAGGCGAGGTCACGTGGCTACTGTGATGACGTAGTTTCTTATATCTCATGGTGACGTCATGTTGCAGGGTACGGATGTAGGGAGTGTAGGGTGAAGGCGAGGTGTCACGTGGTTACTGTGATGACGCTAAGTCTTGTATCTGACGGTGACGTCATGTTGCAGGGTACGGATGCAGGGAGTGGAGGGTGAAGGCGGTGTCACGTGGCTACTGTGATGACGTAGTTTCTTATATCTCATGGTGACGTCATGTTGCAGGGTACGGTTGCAGGGAGTGGAGGGTGAAGGCGGTGTCACGTGGCTACTGTGATGACGTAGTTTCTTATATCTCATGGTGACGTCATGTTGCAGGGTACGGATGCAGGGAGTGGAGGGTGAAGGCGGTGTCACGTGGCTACTGTGATGACGTAGTTTCTTATATCTCATGGTGACGTCATGTTGCAGGGTACGGATGCAGGGAGTGGAGGGTGAAGGCGAGGTCACGTGGCTACTGTGATGACGTAGCCAGGCCGCCACGGACCAGCCAGACTCTGTGGCTTGGAACAACCTAACCACAAGGCACAGGTACACACTACATATGTATTTATATTATGTTAGTTGATTAGTTAAATTAGACTGTGTACTGATTTGATCTATAGGAAATCGTTTAAAATTTACATGTTTGTTTATCAAGCAAATAGCCTTTTTCAGCTAAAATACTGTTTGATTTGTGTATGTTAGCTGATTAAATCGTATGATTAGTTGTCGTGTGCTAGAATAATCTAAAATGTATTAGAAAGAATAAATGGTCTTGAAGGGAAACATCCTCTTAAATGGATATGTATGACGTATGTGGCATATTATTTTCAAGGGATGTTATTTTTATTAGAATAAAACAGTTAATTTTCCCATGAGTTTGGAATAAATTTGATTGATTTTAAGGTATATGTGTAAGTAAAAAGGACAGGTCGTCTTATTTATATTATATTGATTGGAAATAGGTTAGACTCCCTTTTACATAATATCACACATCATCAGTGATTGAAAATTGATGAAAATTATAAAGGAAATTCTCAAGGCTCACAGACTAGTACATAATAAATAACCAAAATATTTCAGTGAGATCAAAAAACCCGACCAACGCTCTTTATCTAAAATATAATACACACTTTTCTCCGGAAAACTGGCAAAGGATTTTCTGGAGCTTCAATAAATAAGATAGACTTGTCAAAAGGAGCAAGTCTTCTTCTCCCTCATTAACTGTTTGTGCCTTAGTTTTCAGTCAAAGAAAAATCTTTCTCTAACTCAAATATAAATTAAATCTTTTGTATTTTTTCTGTTATCCTGTACTTATTTTATTATAGCACTGAGGAAAGGTATAAATACAAAAGGGTTTTCGTAAAATATTTGTGGATTTGGAAAACAGGATGAAAAATAAGGATCTACTCTCTAAACGCCTACATAATAGTATATACTATTAACTTACTTACTTTTACTTTACTTTTACTTTATTACTTGTTAATCACCAAAGACAAGTTTCTTATGCAACTAACTGAACAAATAAACATAATAATTCACTTGCTGTGTATTTAGATTTAGATTTTGTCATTAATACAAGCACATTTTCTGTTTTAATACCAACTACATTATAACATACTAGTATCCATCTTCGACCGAGGATAATATGCTTCTAAGAACAAATATTCCTAATTTCATCAAGTATCAAAAACATATTAATGGAAAATCAATACGTGATATTTAAAATCATTACATATTTAAATAAATGTAAATAGAAAAAATATTAATACTGTAGTATTAAAAAAAGGTGTGGTAACTCAAAATAAAAATATTTAATCAATTAACTTCTAACCCTACTTGAGGGATTTTACAAATCGTTGAACTCGCTTTATCGATATAAACAAGATTGATGCATTAACACTGCGGTATGTTGGCAAAACTGATCAGCTGTTCCGCACAAACAGGTGATGTTGGTAATAATGATCACGGGACTGCAGTCAGGTGATCGTAACGCTATTGGCGCTCTCATGACGTTATCCGATTGGTGGATTATTGTTGACAATTGAACCACGTAAGCGGTTTAGGTTCATATATTTATCCATGACTTGTGTACTGTAGAATCTCCTATGAGTTATTACGATTTAACAAGGTTCGTAGAATTTAAATAGTAATTCCTTTAGATTATTGGATTATTATTATTATTATAAAAAAAGGATTATCTCAGAAGCTGAAGTTGTGGTAAGAGAATTCCTACAATTCAATATAACCATACGGAAATTTCATTTGAAGTTACTTTAAGCCAAAACGCTTCGATATCTTTCAATTTATTACCCCTAAAGTACTTTGCGAACAATTGTTCGTATAGAATATCTATATACTTAGGCAGAATGGTCCTTTTTAAGATTATTATCTTTTATTTTCCACTTAAAAAACCCATACAAATGTAAAATAAAAAATGGCCATCCACCAATTTGAGATTGCTAATTAAAGCTTATTTATTTGTCACACATCAAGTAGACTATTGTTTGTAGCATGAACAAGCTACTCAAGTTTTCCTATGTGATAAAGGATATGTGATATGCGATTTCGGTGATGATTTCCGAAAATGTTTTAATAATCAAATTAAATCTTAGTTACTTCTTCTATAGAGTTGTTAGGTACCATCATGGATTATATAAAGATAATTTTAAAGTATATTTGCCTTTAACGCCAGGATGCATAGATTACTTTTTTTATTTATAACTGTACAACAGTTAGGTCTATAACAACCGACATTGATGAATCTGTACACCAGTGGTTGTTCTTAAGTATCACAGCTAATCAAACATTGTACATTTTCAATTGACTTAAGTGATAAAGTACGAGAACCTACACCAGTACACTAAAGCAGTACTGAACAAGAAACATACATCAAACAAGCTTCAGAATTTAAAGTAGAATAATAAGTATATTTTTGCAAAACACATAGTCCTTGTGTAATGCAACTGTCAATGATTATATTTTATCGATCACGATATAATGTTGCTCGTATGCAATGATCGTGTATGAAAATCCTTTGTAGCGACTTCAAAGCTCCCCTTGGGTCTTTGTGAAGATTGATTCCTTTCTACCTTTTACATTTGGAGGCAAGTAATATTTGAAATTAATGGCATAGCATTATACTTCCCCATCGTTTATGAGAGTACAAGACAAGTCCTACAACTTCTTAACAGTAGGGGGTTTTTTAAGTGTAAATTAATAATAATATAGTAATGGATGTAATTTTGAATTATGCGTGGTTTGGAATTATGGGGAAATAGCTTGTGATTTCTTGAAATTTCTTGCTATTGTTAAAGTTTGATTAATTTTTTATTTACGTATATTCTTACGCGTTTGAAAAAGTCAAGTCTTTATTTTCATACAATAAAAGACGAGTACCTTATTTATTTTCATTTCGTGAACTATAAATTTTCCTATCAAACTACAGATTAAATTGATCGATTTGAGAGGATGTACCCAAAAACATGTAAAGTCCGTTCCTACGAGGATCGAGTAAGTGAATCAGTATTATCATAATATCGCTGCAAACAATAAATCTACCGTTTTGCTGTAAAGGGATAAAGGTGATAAATATATGAAACATTATATGGTGATTCTTATTCCCTTTAATGCCACTATTTTGTTCTGTGTTTTATCTTCTGGATTTAATTTTGGCCAGTTTTAAATACATAAAACAAATAATTCAGTTTAGTACTGGTCCGTGGAATCAGGAGGCATAGACAAACTCTGCGCCTGATGGGTTGCTCTAGTCGGAAATTACCTTAATTGGTTACTTTAATTATTTAACGGATTTTAATTAAGAGAAAAACAAAAATAATTTGTTTTAATTTGGATTTTTCATAATATTTCTACTTCTTCAACATTTTATCTTAAATGAAGGCCTTATCCTGTAACTCATAAACAGTACGCGTGCACACTAAAGTTCGGTTCGGTAGTTCAACACTTACAGGCGATCTTGTTTGAGTTAAGTCACCCGGGAAAGGTGTTCAGTTGGAAACCAGATATGGTAACAATAACTAAGGAACTGAATAACTATGAAACTTGGAACATTGAAACGTGGAAAGAATATCAAGGAAGTATACAGTCATGTAAAACAGTAGATACCCACTTTGCAATTAATTTTACAATATCCATGCCACAGCAAACCTGCAGACAAGCAAGTTTACATTTGCGTGACTGGATTTCCGCTAAATATTACCTAAAAAGATCAGATTTATTCACTATTTAAATAATATTATGTTGAACAAGTACTTACGGGCTGCTTCAGGGCAAAAAAATTATGTTTTGTTTGTATTAATATTAATATTAATAGTATAGTATGAAATATTTCAAATTTAACTAAATATATCTGTAAACCATCAAACTACAATAGTTAACAGTTTGTAATGAGAATATCGTGGAAATTTTAATTGATAGATTCTAAAGTGTCCTCCATAACCTTTAAACGTACAACTAATCTTTAATATAGGAATTTAATACGTTTTAAGCTCTGCAAAAAATGATGATGAATTAAGTAATGATAATTAAATAAAGATTATGGTAATATCTACTTCAGATTAAAATCCATCTTCTAACACAAAAAAATATAGAACACAATGCGCAACATTAAACCTACTATTTACAAATATGTTTTTAAATGTTAATCATCATGTAAACTTCAGCCACAAAACATTTAATCGATATAGTGTAGCTTGATGTCATAATGAAGAATCCACTAAAAAATAATCACGAATAATAATTTAGAATAACAATTCCATGAAATTGTTAGGGATCTTAAATGAAGTTGATTTACACTGAAAGATTTCATGGTTTGGATAAGACTGACGAAATTGAGCCAAAGTTTACTTTACAGATGGCAGTCGTTCGTGTTGACGAGAGGTAATAAGAGAAAGTTATATTGGCGTTATCTAGAAGCAATAATGACGTCATGCATCTGGAATACCTTAAAATAATGCAAAACTATGTAAAATAAAAATTATAACTGACGAAAAGAGCAGGATAAGTTTGTTGATTAGGTCATTTTTGTTTAAACCTTACACAATCATAAACTTTGGAAATGCAAAGCAAATTTACGAGAGGTTTGTACTGGAAACAGCGTATGTAGTTCAGAAGTTGTGAATTATTGATGCATGAATTAACTCTTAAGCTGAGTCGATTAGTTTTAGAGCAGAAACAAGATATCAACAATTATTAGTGAGTGTAGGGATAAAATTATCACCAAGTCAATGAATAGTTACTCTTATGTCAGGTGATTTTATTTTACAAAGCTGTTCATACATGAATCAAATAGTGGCGTTAAAAATTAGCATTTATGACTATTTTTAAATAGGGGTTTAGAATTTTGCAGATAATACCCACTTTTTAAGCCATTACTTCATACACAAATAGTCACGAGCCTGTGACTTATTTACGTTGACTTTAGTCTACTGTTTCCGTGAAGCCAAATGACATTAACTTTGAAATTCAACATATTTCCAGAATATATGTGGTATGGTTCAACTTAAACATATTTCTAGGATAATCGGGTTTTGGTTAAAAAAATGTTAACTTTTTAACGCCTATCAAGATATTATCAAACTTCCAAATTATTTTAGAAAATTACCGTGATTTCTGATCTTTGAAATCTAAAAGAGTTCCGAGAATGTCGAATGTAACTCCTCAGCCCAGTTGCCGCTCCGAAAAACAAGTTATGCCGTTAGCATTAACTAAATAAACACCACTGAGTCACTTATTAATAATTTCGGGTTTAAAAGTTTGGATTTCACTAGGGGCGGAATTAAGATACAAGTTTCCAAGAACTTCCAAAGAATATTATTTTAATATTTTGCTTTTTGTATTATTTAAACATTTTTTGAGTGCATTACATTATTTTTCAAAACACATTGCATATTTTATTAATTATATTAATTGAAGTATGGCAATTTTAACCTCCAAATAAAAAAAAATATTTTTTATTGTTATATTTTGAAAAATAATAAAATCCACCAATTTAAATATCACAATTTCTATTGACGCAGTTAAAATATAAGATATTAGGTATAAAAAGCCTACTACTTACGAATTCAATTTCAAGCTATTTAATTATTACGAAACATGATATTAAACTGTGACAGTTTTGATTAGATTGCCATGGATGTTGAACTTACAAAGCCTTTTGAGCCGTAGAGCGAAGACCGCTCAAAACTTATTGCACCGCGTTCTGCATTTCAAAGACTTCTAAACTTTAAATCCCTGCGTAAACTTAAGCCAGTAAAATACTTATTGCAGTGATATTTATGTAAGTAAATTTTACGTTTAAATGTTTAACCGTGCAAATAAATTTTATTGCATTTCATTTGTGTTCTTAAAAAACTATGCTATTGCTAGTATCTGTGTTGAAATAAGTTTTCAAGTAAAAATTGTATAGGAACGCAGTTGATCTAATGCAGTAGCTTCAGTCTTGGGGTTCAGTGTTCAAATCCTTCCAATCACCAAGGACTTTTAGTAGGAATTTCATGCCTTTTAAGGTTGATTAAAACCATCAACCTTCTCATGGTTCTCCATTGTTGAGAACCTTCTCAACAATGGAAAACTAATGCAAACGAAAACTGCTCTAAGCTAAGTAAGTTTAGAAAAATCAAACTAGAAACTGCAGAACTGATCCACACATTTTAAAGATAGAAATGTGTGTGAAATGTATATTCATTCATACAAATTGTATCAATACTTGAATTTATTCCTGATTTCAATAATGTAAAATTAATGTGTTTGCCGTAGGATTTACATTTACAAATCTAAATACATCTGAAACCATTTATTTTACAATGGGCGTGGCGGAAAAGAAGATTAATTTAAAATTACCCTCTGTTTAAACGAAACAAAGACAAATTACCCTGCGGCTGGTTTTTGTGAAAACAAATCTAGTAGTGTCATGTTACGAAATTGATGTTCTTTTCCCCACAAAGTAATGTTTACATGTTGCAATGTCTCTTTAGATGTTTTGAATGTTATTTCAAATATCTGTGACAACCAGAGTTGTTCTGGTTTACAACAATATTTATTTTATGTTTAGGAACGCTGTGTTTTTGGGTTTTTTAAATTAATTATTACGGAATGGACTTAAAAACAATTACTTTTTAAGCAAATTTCATGATTAACATGAGATTTTTCGTCATTTTTTCGTCTAGTTCTCTGCTTAGATGGTTTCATATGTTCTAAAATGACTGAAATGATACTGATTCTGACAGAGATCTTTGACTATGCACTACAAGTTTCGGTTGGCATACCGGGGCCTGAGTCCGACCTTTATGGCCTCATACACTACTTTACAGCCTTTGACTCATTACTTATATGTGTAAAGTGAGAAAAATGAGTTCGATGATAATTTTATCATGAAATGGTCTGCAAATAGAACCGACCCATTTCCTCTTAAAATATTGAAACCGTTAAAGGTCTAAAATAAGGAGATACCTGAAATACAAAAAAAATTAACATTTTTTTACAGTGAAATACGTTCCCTGTGTTTAAACTTCATGTTTTTAAGTTTTGGTCAACGCGAAGTATGAAGGTTAATAATAATCATACTATAAATTCAAATCATATCCAATTTAGGCATGTTTATATACGATCGTAATAAACATGGAAGTTTCACTGGAGAAAGCAACATTTGACTCATTTCTACAAAGGCAGGCTTCACAAAGTATTCAGCTTTTGAAGGTCTCTTGAAGCATATTACACTCTGCTCAAAGTTTCAAAGGACTTCTGACATTAAATCCTCAAAAGTACTATACTTATTAGCTTTCATGTCTTTAGCAGTTTCCTTCCTATGTGAGTTTGTATCGTTTGAAAGTTATTACTAATTGAGACACGTATTTAATTTATAGAATTTGAGAAATATGATAAGGTTGTTAGTTTGAATGTTTTCTTGTAACAGCATAGATATATGCAAACTTTGAGTAAAAGTAATTGCATGATATTGAAGGCCTGAATCATGATTATAATACATTTTTAACCATCGCTTCAAAAGTTTCATACGGATTTTAAATTATATTTATATTAGTTCAGTACTAATATTTAAAATTCGGATTGCTTGTAATTTTAGGATATTTCGTCAAATGATAAGAAATAACTGTAAAATTTGCTGCGAACAGAATTCTGAATGCATCTCTTAACTACATTGTATATTAGTTGTAGCAAGAAATTAAATTTAGTTGGCTATTTAACAATTTTTCGATAAAATAATGACGTGGAAATTGTTAAACTGTTATTGGGTGGAATAAGAAATAATTTTCACATTGGTGTGAAAATTATTCACAACACGACTCCTGAGATAAATAAGTGTAATGATTGTTTATTCGTTCTACAAAATTTTATTTTAGATGCAAAATTTAAAATTTGGGTATTTCTTTTAATTTAACAATATCTTCGATCAGTATGTCACCAATATTAACCATGATAGTTTTCTTTGTAATATTAAATGTGTTCATTTCTTTTAACAAAGAAATTACTAACTTCATGAGATATACTATAGTATTTTAGATAATCTAAAATATAACACAAATAAAATATTGATTCTAAATTAGTTAATGACTCAAAGTGTCATTATAAAAATGCTTAAATCTTACAAATAGATTATTGCTAAAAGAATCATAAAAATGAAATATTAGGTGAATACTTAGTTTAAAAAATTGTAATGTGGTAGAAAAATTATTTAAAAAATTATTAACTATTTTCCTTAGCATTAATCCCTTAAAGAAATCGTCTCTAGAATTGAAGGTAAATACAGCATGAAGACTTCTCACTCCATAGTAAAATATCAAACCTAGTTTAAAGGGTGTTTCTTGTCCGATATAGCAAGTGTGAGCTAATGTAAACAAAATAGTTCTCCTCTTTTTAGGGCAGGTTTTACTTTGATAGTAATACAAACACTGTATTACAAACAAACGTGCTTGCTTTGTTATCATATAAACTCTCCATAATACTGTATTGAATATTGAATACACTTGTTGGAAAGCTTAATTTAAGATAAACTCACAGATTAACAAACACTTCTAACATTATTTTATTTTCATGAACTGAACAAGAATTGTGTATATAAAAACTAAAAAACAAAACATTGGCAGATGACTAATTTAAATCATTTAAATAATCAGCTGACAAAAGCAAGTAAAGACTATTTGAAATAAATTCATTTTACCAACATCCTCCCTTTCTTAACTTTTTTTTATGTCTTTAAAAAGCGTCTGTTGCGAACATATAAGTTTCCACCAACTTGTACCACATATCTTCGATCTCTTTCTTTTTTTATAACTTTACCTTCTACCCAGGGATCCCTTCTCTCTTGAGGTTTCCTTTGAACCCAAACAACTTGTCCTGGTATCAGTGGGGCGAGGTCTTTAGCTCCTTTGTCAAAATATGTTTTGTATGCATCTTTCTTTTTATCCCACTTTTCAATTACTTTCACAGGAACATTAGGACGCAGCAGATCTTCACAAGTGGGTACAAAGCTTTTAGTTCTTCTAGACATTAACAACTGAGCTGGACTCTTACCAATTTCTTTGAGTGGTGTATTTCTCAACTCAAGAAGAGCCTGCTGAACGTCGCCTTTGTCTTCTCTCACTTTTTTTAAAATACTCTTAAATATCTTTACAGCAGATTCAACTTTTCCATTTGCCTGGTGGTGATATGGAGAGGAAGTAATTATCTTAAATTTCCACTCTTCTGAAAAATCTTTAAATGCTTGACTTAATATAGGGGTGCCACTATCACCAACTACAATGTCTGGAATGCCGTATCTTGCAAATAACTCTTTACAGAAAACAATCAATGATTCAGAGGTACATTTTTGTGTTTTCCTAATCTCAAAAAATGACGAATAGTAATCAGTCACAATAATGAAGTGAGTTGAGCCTTCTTGAGCAAAATCAACCCACATTCGCTGCCATGGTCGTGATGGTGTTTCTTGAAGTAAGAGGTGTTCTTTCCGTTGAGTCGGTGCATATTTCTTGCATACTAAACATTTTTCAACTTCTTTTCTTATATCTCCTGCCATTCCCGGCCAAAAAAATACATCTTTTGCTCTCCTTATACATGATTCAACCCCTTGATGTGAAAAATGAATTCTATGGACTAGTTCAATTGTCATGCTACTTGGGATAACAATCCGCTCTCCTTTGAGGACAAGTCCGTCTTCAACTCCAAGCTCTTCCTTAAAAGGCCAGTAATTCCATAGCTCCTTGGGAACTTGAGTCTTTCTATTAGGCCAACCATTTATAATCACCGGTATAAGCTTCTGAAGCACGGGGTCTTTGTATGTGTGTTCTTTCAGTTGGTTTAAACGCTCATCCGTAACATTTATGTACTCTAAGGACTTACACTGTTCAAACTCCTTTGTCGAGCTGTTCATTGAGGTTTCAAAAATCATTACTGAATTGTCCTGCATACTGCATTCATACTTAGTTTCTGGGGCGCGTGACAAAAAATCTGCTAAAAGCATTGTTTTACCTGGTCGATAAACAACAGTAAATGTAAACTTCTGCAATCGCAGCAACATTCTTTGCAACCGCTTAGGTGCGTTGACCAAAGGTTTTTTGAAAATAGTCTCAAGAGGTTTGTGATCGGTTTCTACCGTAATATCACACTTACCGAACAAATACTGTTCAAACCTTTCAAAGGCAAATAGAACTGCCAGGCATTCTTTCTCGATCTGAGCATAGTGGCATTCTGTTGGATTTAAAGTCCTTGATATATATGAAACTGGCTTACCATTTTGCAATAGCGAAGCACCCAAACCAAACTGACTTGCATCACATTGCAACGTCACAGGAGAGTCCTTATTGTAATACTGTAGGGTTGGAGAGTTGGTCACCATGTTAACTAATTTCTTGAAAGCCAATGAATGTAATTCCTGCCACGTCCACTTAACATCTTCTTTAATTAGAGTTCTTATTGGAACTGCTACTTCTGACAGTCCTGGCAGAAATTTACTTAAATAATTGATAAATCCCAAGAACCTTTGAGCTTCCTCCTTGTTCTGAGGCTCTTTCATATTTGAGACTGCTGATATCTTGTCAGGATCTGCTTTCAAGCCATCACTGCTCAAAACATGTCCCATGTACTTAACTTCCTTCAGTCCGATTTTACATTTATTCATGTTGAACTTTATATTTCTTTGTCTAGCTCGCTCAAGCAATGCATGCAGATTCTTGTTATGGTCCTCTAAAGCTTGTTCATCTGTGTCTCCACTGCCGTAAACTACGACATCATCTGCAATCGTAAAAATTCCTTTTAGTCCTTCCAGCTCTTCGTGTACTCGCCGTTGAAATTCTTCTGGAGCTGACTTTACTCCGAAAGGCATCCTTAGCCAGCGGTACCTCCCAAATGGAGTCCAAAATGTCGTTAATTTGCTTGCCTCTTCGGTTAACTTTATATGCCAGAACCCATCTTTTAGGTCTAGAGTACTAAATATCCTGGCTTTTATAAGTTTTTGGAGCAACTTCTTCTATAGTGGGGACCTGATAATGTGACCGCTGGATAGCTTTGTTTAGTTGATGTGGGTCAATACAAATGCGTAACTTGTTCGGTTTCTTAACGACAACCATAGCACTGACCCATGAGGAAGGTTCCGTTACCTTACGTATTACACCTAATTCTTGAAGACGTTGTATTTCACTTTTTATCTCATCTTGTAAAACCAGAGGATATCTTCGAGGTGGAACCACTACAGGAACAACAGATTCGTCAAGTCTAAATTTATGTTTACCCTCAAAGCATCCTAGACCTTGACCAATGTCTTGAAAAGAAGATAGAATGGAGCTTGGATTTGGAGAATTCTTTAACTCAAAAACATCCTCATCTACTGCAATAAGCCCTAACCGTAAACAGTCTTGAGCTCCAATCAATGGAATATGCTTCGTATTGATAACTTCAAACGACATTCTTTGCTTAATATTCTTCCATATAACATGCAATGTTATTTTCCCAAGAGAAGCCTTTGAAGCACCACCATAGAAAGTAAGCGTTGTATTACTTTTTTGGAGGACTGGACGATCAACTCCAACCAGCTCCTTCAAAATATCGTAACTCATTACATTGCATGTCGCCCCGCTATCAAGTTGACATTTTAGCATTCGATTACCTTTCCTAAATGGGACTTTCAAATGGACGAATAGACGTTTTTTTGGAATGTCATCTTCCATTTCATATATGTCATTTTTGTCTACATAATCTCCAGGAATGGTATCTTCACAAGCAGAGCTTACTACTTTAATCTTTTCTTTTGCTTTAAGGCACATTTTAGCAAAATGATTGTTTTTTCGACATAAACTACACGCTTTTCCAAACGCAGGACAGTAACTTGCTCCTCTTTGGTGTTTTCCCCCACAGAATTTACACGAAAGAAGTTTTTGATCACTGTTTATTCTAAACGACTCATTAACTATATTTTCCGTAGAAGGTTCAGTCTCGTTAGTTCTACGTTCATTGATTTTTTTAGCAAGATTACTAGCCTGCTCATCAGAAAGACATATGCTTGTCGCATTATCAAGAGTCAGATCTTTTTTTGATAAGAGCCGTTTTCTTAAGTCATTATTTGATAAACCTACTACTAACCTATCACATAAGAGCTGCTCTTCAATTTCAAGCCTAGATAAATTTGACATTGACTCAAATTCACATTTTCCTATCATTTCATGTAACCTGTTAATATACTCTTTACAAGACTCATTTGGTGATTGTGTAGCACTATTAAACATAAAGCGCTCAAAAGTAACATTCTTAGCATTATTAAAATAATCATCTAGTCTATCAATAATCTCATCAACACTGGCCTTGTCATTGCATACCTATTTTATTTATTAGCTGTAATGTTTTACCTCCAATGAGAGACTGGAATAAAGCTACCTGAACTTTTTTGCTTGTTATCTTGCTGCATTTTGAGCCACCACACGCTTCAGCCAAAGTTAGATAGTTGTTCCATTGGACCTTGAATAACATCCATTTCTCTGCTGCATTTGTTTTGTCCGAAATGTCAAGTGGATCTGGTAGAGGTATTCCATTCATTATTGTAATTCTTCTAATAACCTGACACCATGTTGGAAAGCTTAATTTAAGATAAACTCACAGATTAACAAACACTTCTAACATTATTTTATTTTCATGAACTGAACAAGAATTGTGTATATAAAAACTAAAAAACAAAACATTGGCAGATGACTAATTTAAATCATTTAAATAATCAGCTGACAAAAGCAAGTAAAGACTATTTGAAATAAATTCATTTTACCAACAACACTAAAGTATACTATATTCATATAACTTTCAATATTTTAGAGATGGATAGAAAACTTAAACGCACCAAAAGTGTTGCCAACTTTGTACCTTAAAGTTTTTTTAGTTATATTGACTAAACTTCTTAAAAAGTTAAAATATAAATAAAATAGGCTGAACATTCTTTCTGAAATAAGTTTGAACAATTTAGTTTAAAATATTTTGTTGGAGTGCAGTGTTTGTTGTTTCAATTATGTAGTGGAAAAGGGCTTTGTCAACCGAACAGACAGTCTGATGACCATTGTTTTGTGTGCGTATAAATGCAAGCTGTATTTATACGCACTGTAAAGACACGTATTTGTACAATAACTTACCGTTTTATTAGGCTATATTCTATTCTATATCTTATAATTAGCTTTTGATGAACATGAGTGATAAATCAATGGAAGATGTCCAATCCTTCTCTGGGTATTATCTTGAAATATACATCGTTTATGGAATTGTATATTTTAAAAATACTTAACTCTTAAATATAGCAAAACACAAAACCGTTAAACCGAAAATATTAATTAGGAACTCAGTGGCGTTATTTAGTTCACGTCAACAGCATTAAATTGCTTTTAGAAGCGGCAACTCGGTTGTAAAGTGAACTGAGTTGTTTGAAGAGGAGTTACATACGACATTCTTGGAACTCTTTTAAATGTCAAAGTCAGAAATCTCATTAGGCATCTACGGTAGCTCAAAGTCAACACATTTCAAGCTAAAGTGAGTTTTCGACCACTGGACTGGCTAGTTTCGATAAACTCGATGCATAAAAAAATACTTTGTGGAAGGTTTTTTTTATTTATTTTTTCCATTCCGCTTAGTGAAAACTTCGTAGATACTGTAGACCTGCAACTATCTAAGGCCTCTGAGGGTTATAAGAACCACAATACATCATCGTGCCATTTTCCAGCTCTATTCAAAAGAAGCTTTTGAAATTAATTAGTTTGTAAGGATGTATCTAAGAATATATACTTAAGGTACACCGTGTCACTTAAATAAATGCTCTTATGCTGCTGTAAGAATTGTAACACTTTTCAATTAAGTAAAAAGCTAAATAACTGCAAGACTGGCTAATTCAGTTGAAGGGTAGCCTAATAATTATTCTAAGTGAAAGGAGAAGTAGCAAAAATAGCATTTTGGTGAAAAACATTATGTAGGTTGGTCCAGAGCGAGTAGCTTGAAGCTTCTACTAACAGGACAGTTAGTCAGTAATTTAATGCAAAAGGCCATTTTAGACTTTAGCGGGTTCATAGTAGTAATAAAACACAAAATTATGTTGGGCGAATCCTACGGGTAACAGCTAGTTTGTTTATAAATATAAAAAATATATGTGAATATAAAAAATATATGTGATAAATATATATGATTTGTATGCATGCATAGTCTATATGTAAGTAATCGAGTATTTTAAAATGTGCCGAATCTAAAATCTGAATTTATATTATCTTATGTTGTAACATGTGTATCTGTTCTCAAAACTTACAATAATGATTTTTTACATGTTTTGTCGAACATGGCTCTTTTTTAGCTTAAAATTCAGTTTTATGATTCAATTATCTGCATAAAATTATTAAAGCTTTATATTTAAGTAGTTAATTATCAGCTACAGAACTTATGTACTAACGAGTTTTCAGTCGAATTTTGCATAAAAGTAGTTTTTACCTTACTGTCTTTAGATGCAACAATAATAAACAACATTTAACTTTAAAATTACACAATTTTGATCAAGTTTCCAAATATTGTTAAAAGTTTGTTTACATTAACGTGTTTCCCACCCTACTACTGATACACCTTTGTTATACTAAAATACTAGTTTGTATTTTGTTAAGGTCTTTTATTGCTTTCTAGTAATTTTTTATATATAAATATACTAGAAACTTAATTACGCTCATGACTTAGCTCATCCCAGTCATATTTAGAAACGCTTTAACCCCTACTTTGTGTTCGTTAAAAGGAGACTTTATATATCTCTACAACCATATAAAACAGAGGTGAACAAGCACAACCAAAACCTCTTTCGTGTAGTTTCTAAAGAAAACTCATTAATCTTTAATGAAATGAGAACGAAAGTTGTTCACCTTGGCAAAGTTTGCTTTTTGGCGAAAAATGGGAAAACTTTTATTTTAATAACCTCTCAAACGTTCCACGAATATCGGTATTCATGAACAGTTTATCAAAGGACCGATATTAATTTGTAATTAAAATTTACTATTCCTAAAACATCGTAGAGAACTCTTTCAAAGATATCATAATAATTGAATGCTAAGCTACTAGAAAAATTACGTTCCATTTTCCCAATAGACAATAAATTAATTGATAGTAAAATGGCTTAGTACTTAGGGTAGTTTATATCATTAGTCATTGCAATGGGGAACTCTACTTGTAGTATAGTGTGAGATGTTCTGTGTAGCTTTTTAACTGATTAAAATCAGCTGTTTCATTAGTCAAGACCATTTATTTAAGGCCCAAGGATCAGGATACAATGTATATTTTTCATCATACTGTTCGAAAAACAGCGCAGTTTTTCGCTCTCTAAATCGTCCGCAAAATCGTAGTTTTCGGGTGACTTCTAATAGGGAACATAACAAACATATTACTATATACTATAAACATATTATTACATTTTTTGGTTCGCTAAAATCGTTTATATGTAGCATGTTATAAATGTTGTTTACTATTTGAAACACACATGATGAAAACGCTGCCAATCACAAGAAATTTCTGTTGTTTCTAAACATAAGAAATGTAAACATTGATGGACTCTTTGTATAAACCTCAAATTATGTGGTCTAATTTTGTATACATTATGAGGTTATTTCAACAATATGGTGAAAATAGTGGTTCATCACACGGAGCGAACGTGTTTTTGCTACTTAATCGTATGTATAGATTGCGTACAAAAAAGACACTTCCTAGGGGTGAAATATAATATTGTAATACGAGCAAAATATCATCAGTACGACAATATAATATGACTGAAATTTTAATTAGTGAATTACTTGTTTGAAATCTATGACAATTAAAACCATTCAACTAGTTTTTATT